ACATTGGGCATTAACAGTGTCTCTTGTAGATTTAGCCTAGTCTAGACTTGCATGGTCAGCTGTACGTGTTGTATAGCGTAACGTATTTCTAAATAGGACTTGCCATATTTATAGACATTTACTAACTTGTGAAGTAAATAATTGTTTCGCTGCGGGATACAACTGTTGGTTCAAGGAGAAATTTCGATCTCTTTGCGTGGTGCGTTTAGAACTCCACGTATCCCGAAAGCAGACAATTCTTTACTCGGGCTTCAGTAACCCCATTTTTTCTCTTTTTCTTGGTGAACTGATGAGAGTGATGTAAGAGCATGTCGGTTGCTTTATTGTACTCTTTAGAATATGTACATTAGTGACTTAGTCGTCCTAGCCCTAGTGTTTGTGGTCTCGTGGCGTGGAGAGGAGCCGTGATGCGGTGCGCGTCTGCCTGCCGGGCGGCCGGCGGGCCTTTTTTAGAAAGCTGGGAGGAGCGCGGAGCGGAGAGGAGAGGCGAGGCGCAGGCCCAGCGGAGCGGCCCAGGGTCGCCTTGGGTGGGGCTGAGGGCCGGTTCTTACCTGTTGCCCGGCCCGGCCGGGCCCGGCGTGCCTGCAGGAGGGCGTTTCTTTGTGTCGGCCGCGTACCTACCTAGCCAGGCCGCGTAGGACGCCGTGCGCCGGTCTCGCTAACGGCCGGCGCGACGCGACGCCCTGGCCCCGGCCCCGAGCACGTCGCGCGCTCGTTTTCCCTTTTCGTTACGGAGCTCAAAGGCAAATGCGCCGAACCCGTTGTACCCGTCGTGCTGGAAGGACGGTGCTACCTGTAGTGATATTTAATGCGCTAAGAGTTCAATGCAACAAATACATAACAAATTGGCTGCATTACGCGGTGCGACGAAACTAAAATCAGTCGAATGGCGAATCGCGGAGATCTTTCTAGAGATGGGAGCGGGCCCCTGCGCGGAGGCGGCTTCCTTTTAAAATTCCTAGGCGTCGGCCGGAATAAGGCACGTCGCTCATTGCTTTCCCAGCTCGCTCCCGCTCGCCCGGTCTCCGCCGCACTCCCCGCGCAGCGCCCCGGCCGTGGTGTCCGGCGCGGGAGCGGATCTCCTTGCTGCGCCGGCGGAATATCTGCTCTCGTTTTCCGATACGCCGCTCGGAGCGCGGCGCGGTGCTCGCTTGTACGCGCAAATGGATATAAACAGAATGGAGTCTGGAAAAAGAAAATATCACGCTGAAATGTAGCGTGTGTATAGAACCGTATTTCATTGCCATATTTGTCACGGGTTTTGAATATGAGATATTGGAAGTTAACCTGAATGCAATCCCGTAACTGATAATGAACGCGATGACCTGCGTTATTGAAGTAAATAACAGTAGCAAATAACAAGGGTTGGGGCAGACCGCGTGTGTATCATCGATTTCCCAGATTGACGCCGTAGGTTTTTCTTCAGAGAGACGCGAAATATACTTAATATTCCGTGAAGGTCTACTGCCCAAGATTCATGCCGTTTGTTTATGGAATTGCAAGTGGACACTTATTTGAATAATGCATCGAACTGATGTAGCTATGAGTTGCAGACCTGTTATCGCGAGTGCTTTTCAGCTGGCAGAATGATGACCTTTGTGCGAGAGCCGTCCTCTATCGATCTGCGCTTTGTGAAAATCGCTGTTAGACCAGACTGTTAAGGAGAATATTGCTCTGTTGACCATCGCCAATCACGCCAGTTTGCCATAAATGGATGGGAATAGTGTCATTGAAAAGGGAATGACCCTCAGAATGATGTTATTGAATTGAAGAAAATGTTTTTAATGCTCAAACGTTTTGTCAACATTTAATTTGGGCATTTAGTACTGACATTTAGTAATTTAGGATGTGAAGAATGCAATTAGATTACAAGTACCCCCAGGGAAATTTCAAATTGCAATGAAACTTATTCTCTACATTTCATTAAAAAATGGATTGATAGTGGAAACAAATGCATAGCATCCTCTACCGATTGAAAATATATGCACCTACCGAAATTCAATAGAGTGCACTCTCGTTATAATTACCAAATTGTAGCAAATGACAAACTGCATTTCGGAGGCATTAGTGACGTGAGTGAAGGTCAGAGCTGACGCGTCAACCCATTTAGCGTACCAGAATTAAATTGTTGGAGCTTATGTCTGGGGATACCTCGTGGCACTAATGTTTATAATGAATCACATTCTATTGTTTTGTGGGCTTACCACATTGTGTTACGGCCTCGGATTTGTCGGATGTAGTGTGCATTCTCTGAGGAGGAACGACGTAATTACAGTGGTATTGAACTGTGATTGAAGCAAAAATTCAATTTTAGTATTGCGTGAAGATGAAAAACTTATGAACTTAATATTTTAATATTAAGATTCTAGGCTAAACTATCAAGGTAATATGAAATAACAGCTCTGATATGTTCCAAAACGTTTACACACACAAATAGGAAATCCATCGGTGAAACGGGAAACTGTGTTGCAGGAAGTCGAAAACCAGATTGTCTCGCGTAGATTCTTGTCGAGGGAGTAGCGACATAAAAAACGGTGTGTCCTTCGTTCATAATATTGTGTAGGAAACAATGTGGCATACAAACCAAACCTTAGAAACTGTGTATAAACCCTTTCTCTTTTAGTAGGAATTTCATGATTGAACTAACGGATTTTAATTGTTCTATTTTTTTTTATAACAAGACTCGACTTTAAGTGGAGCATACAACAACGGATTGTAAACTTCGCTAGGAGAGGCTAATATTGCTGAAGATTTTGGTGAAAACTTGGACCGGTGCGGTGCCCGCCGACGTGTGGTTCCCGCGTGAAGTCGTAGGCTTCCGCGGCCTGAGTCATGTGGGTGATCTGGGCTGTCCGAGTTACGCCGCGTCGAAGGCTGTGTTGCCGACGTTTCGACCATCTTGTCGTGGTCTTCCTCAGGGCTGGTATGAGGGTGATGGCGTGGGCTGTCGGGTGTGAGCGGCGTCGAAGGTTGTTGTGCGGACGGTTTGAACATCTGTGGGTCTTGCTCAGGTGGTAGTGGGATGAGTGGCTGGGCTGGTCCGCGGTGCGACGCGTCGGAGTTGTGTTGGCCGACGTTATGCGACGGATCGCTGATCGGTGGTCTGCTGCAGTACAGCAATAATACTCATACAGCGTACACGGTAGTGCCCAGCGCCATGAGGAGACGCACGACAGGATGGTTCGAAACCGTCGGCAAGACAGCCTTCGATGCGGCGTCAGCGCCGACAGCCTGCAGGAATCAGGCCACGTGTGGCTTCGCTGAATGCCATCTAAGTGGAGGTACGGCGGGGCAGCGCGGGTTTGGTCACTGTGCCCCCCTCTCAGCTAAGAAGCGTAAGGGAGCGGGGCAGCGGGCGGGGGAATGTGTTAGCGGGGAGCGGGAGCGTCGCTGTAGTTTTTTTAATATATCATTAGCGAAGATGCGGTTGTAATTTTGCGGGCGGCGCTAGGCGGGGCAGGATTCCGCTGGTGATTAATTTCCTGCGGCCGGCCGCGGCAATAAAGAATAATGCTGGCTTGAGCGGGCGAGGTGTCGCGCACTCAGACGCATTGTGTTGCGGGGATTCCTGCGATCCGCCGCCTCTTCGCAGAGCCCCCGCCCCCCGCCCCGTGCAAATCGCCGCTAATGCCCTGGCCGGGACGATGCGATGGCCTTCCTTTTTTTTTTGTTTAGTTGGCTCTGATTTGTCAGTTGAGAGCCGTGATCTCGTTGAAATCCCTGCCTTCGCTCGTATTTACCATTCGCAGGGAGAAGATGGTGGTAGGAAACGAAGGTGTAAAGGTACAAATAGATTGATAAGATGCTGAATTATTTGACGTGTGGTCACATCACTATCAGTAAACAAGCAGCTATTTTAGTATACTTGCTGAAAGAGATCACGAATAAAGAAATTTGATAGTTTTGATTCATATGTCCTAAACTATTTTACATATTTATTATTTCAGTGTAGTCGAGTGGACTACACAACGTGCTGGAATTTGCCACAAATCGGTTAGATACAAATGAAAAGAACATTCTAGTTGCATGGACTGTAAAAATTTCAATGTTTTTTAGAGCTTTGTTCATGAGCTACTTGTTATTCTTAACACTGTCGAGGAAGGTTTCTCGTAGAATTTAAATCACGGTGTCTTCCGGTTTATTGAATGTTGAGTTCAATAAACGCAGAGACCTAACGACCACATGACGATATTCAACCTCACACTGCGTTCTGTTTAATAATGGGTATTAGTACTATTCACTTCAAGCGTCGGGCAGAAAATGGAATAGAGAGGCGGAGAGGCGCGTTATACTTACGTGATCACTAATAGGAATCAGATTGTGCACCAGAACTAGCATTAACACATCTATTTACGGACTAATAACGAAATATAGGACCCCTGTAGATTATCTGCGTTCTTTTAAAATGTTGTGAACTTCTGATTGTTGGTAATATTTTCAAACAATATTTAAATAATAATTTTTTAATTCATGAATTCCTTTTCTGCTAACTTTCGCGAGGGGGTAAAATGTAGGCCTTACTATGAAATTTGCTGTCTTGAGGCATTCTTCCAGTGCAAACATTCAGTTAAGAAATTGATTGTTAAAAATTGTGGCGACATCCACGCTGAGAGGAGTTCGGCAGAAAGTAGTGCTGGGCTCTGCTGCGGGGAGGCCGCGTCGCCCACGCCCCAGCCCGCGCTGCAGCCGCGGCTGCACTTAATTTCCTCGGCGTTTCCTCGCGGAATAAAAGGGAGCGTGCAGCCGCACACCGTTTCTGAATTCGCGTTATTTCTGCTCTTTTTAGAGCGTGGCCCTCATTTATCTCCTATTTCTTTACGCGCGCCCTTTCTCATGTAAATGACGCGGATTTTAAGCGCACACACGTTCTCGCGGCGGAGGCGGAGAATTGCAAGTTTGCAGATAAACTGCGCCCGCCCGCCCGCGCATTCGCCACACGCGAAGAAAACCCTGCTCGCTGGGGATGGAGGCTCTCTCGATGGGGCCAGGAATAAACGAATCGCCCATTCACTAAATTTATTGGTTTTAATTTTTCTACGTTTCGTAGTACAAACATACTTTATTCTCATTTTTTTAGGACCGATTTAATGTAATGACATGTTCAGAACATTTGTCTAGGAAGTTTGATGTGAATGAGCTTTCATTGATTGGATCTTGGCAATGACCTTGAGCATTGTCCCTACTTTAGTTAGTACAGTAAGAATCACTGGTAATACAGGTGCTGCAGCTGGTGAGTCGATACGAGCACCTCTTGCTATCCCATGTTTTTGTCGAGGGGAGCCCACATGCACTCAATCGCAATTGCAGGCCCGGCCCTGTCCCTTCTTCTGAGACTTGTTGATGTCGTCCAAGAGGTCGGCTAGCTCATTGTTTGGGCGGTATTCTTCGTTAATGGTGATCAACTGAAACAAACAGAATCACTCGATTAGGTCCTGCGTGTTGCTGCACGATTTCGAAAGTATTGGCGAAACAGAAATTGGCTAGAACAGTGCAATAGATTTGTGGTTCTATTTACCGTTAGAAAATAGTTCTCGAAGTAACATTGAACATTTTCAGTTTCGAAATACGATGAGTAGTTCTACAGAATCGTTGGACAATCTACAACCATCAATACATTGACTAACTTACAACAAACAATACCGAACAACACACATCTTCCGACATTATTTTAGGTTTCTTTCATATTACATATAAAAATCTTACTGTCAGCAGGTTACATATTCTGATGGTGTTGCAAAATTAATTATTTTCTGTATTAAGATAACATTTTCATGTCACTGTGTATGTGACATAGTCGACAGATATGACAGTGTTTTAATTCAATTTTATGTATTCAGGAACTTGTTCTCACACAACGTGCACGCGCGCGCTCTCCGAAACCCACAAAAAGTTTCTTCTTAATCCTACTGAAAGTGGATTATCACGTAGTGTAAATTTTTTACCCAACCGGATATTCAGAAAATCCTTCCGATTATTCAGAAATCTATACGGCCTAGGCTGTGGAATCAATCACAGCATTCGTGTCAATTAAATGATCTTATAGCAATCGGCTATCTATATGCTTAACAATCGGTATAAAGGATGAAAATGAACGAAATGAACTGTACCGTTCCAGTGCCCTTTTAATAGTTTTATACATTCTGAACAAAGCTTTTACAGAAATAAATATTTCGGTGCGTTTTGCTTTCATGTTAATTTTAAGTATTTGTTCTCAGATAAAGCTACAAAAAGAATGTATATTGTCATGCATGGACGCGAATGGCGGTGCATGCTCAATGGTTTTGTCATTTGATTCCACCTTTTGTCAGAAGTTGTAGTCAGAAGAGAACAGGCCTAAACGTTTTAGCAAACAGTTTCCGAAATCACATGATTAGCTGTTCAGACAGCGCTGAAATGTCCGAAAGCAAATTTCAAGTAGAACTTCAAAGAATTGAGTAGAAAGAATGACGTACGTTTGCCGAAATCAGTGCCGACGTGTGAGATGAATACTATACTATAGTGTTTTTCATAACTTCTGTAATCGAGTTGATTTCCCTTCTCCAGATGTGAGGCATAGGTATCGTAAACATTTCCGCAAAAGTTTCAGATCTTCTGGAAGGTCAGGCTTAAAAGTTTTGTTGAGATTGTGAAGACGATTTAGCGAATGGCGGTCGAAGAGGGGGCGTTCCTCCTCCGGGAAAGTCTTTGACACTTGTGGGAAGGTGATGGCGAAGCGCAGTGTTTTGAGCGTGGGAGGCTTCTGCTGGGGGCCTTCTTTGGAGGCGCGGGCCAGAAGCCGCGTGCGCCTGTCGACGGAGGCTGTAGGAGGAAGCTGCGGCGCGGAGGGGCGGGCCGGGGCCAGGGCATGAGCCTGCCGCACGCGCGGATTTGCGAGCGGTTGAACAAAGGGGCATAGGGCCGCGGGCGGGGGCGGCGCAGGCAGACCATAGAGGCGAGCAGGAGTTTGGAACGGACTGCCTTCCTATTCTTCGCGACGCGCGTTTGAATCGGTGCCGGGGGGCGGCGTAGGCCCGGGTCCTATAGAGGTGGAGCCGGGAAGGGGGGGGGCAAGGGGGCGGGGCGGGGCGACGGGCAGCTGCCGCAGCTTGCGCGCTTTGTTCCTGCGCCCGCCCTGCCACCTGGAAGCGGCTCGCCGCCTTCGCCCTCCGGCCTCCGACCACCTGGTTCCTGGCCGCCCCGCGCCACATGGCTCCCGGCGCGGCCACGGCTCACACGCGCCTTTCCCGCTGTTCCCATGAGATGCCTGCGCTGGTTAATCACCTTCGTTATTGTTACGAGAGGATGTCGGTCAATTCATTAAATGAACTGTTTTTGCAAACGGTGGTTCACGTGTATAGTACATTTTCTGAGCGTGTTGATTTCGCTGGAATAATTTTGCGTAGCAACGTGTATTTCGGCTGTTTCCGTAATTTCCGAAACTCTCGCTTTTCAATTTCTGCTAAGAAATATTTTTGTTACGTAAACGTCAGTATTTATTTATGAAGCAATGTACTGTATGTGCTCTTATGTGCTGTAATTTCTGAATTACAAAATATTTTGTATTGAATGGCTGGAATATAATATTCGAATATGTCACGATTATGTTGATGTTCGGATCTATTGTTCCGGTTGATTTTGCTACAAATACGTATATACGTATATACGAACTTCCAAGATTAGCTTCATGAACATTATTGGAGATTCTATTTCTCATGAAGATATCCTCCGCGTAAATTAAAAATTATGGACACACACATTACAATACTTTGTTTTGATAGTAAGTAATATGTGCGGCAACAAATAAAGAGAAGTCGCTAAACAGCAAGAATCAAGATTGCGGCTAAAATGTAAAAACAAATGATTGTTTTAATTGAGCATGACTTTTAAAACTTTTTAAAAATTGCTTGGAATTTGCCTGTAGAGATCATTACAGTGATTTACTATTGAAACAAGGGTCGATTAGTTCATTCTTAGTCAAGGATGACGCAGTTACTTTTCTACTAAGTTTCTTATATTGGACATTTCACAGACTTGCTCGAGAATTTTGCAGTATTTTAGTAACTCATTACGGGGGTCCGACGAAAAAGTTTACTTAAATTGCACGTAGAATGCTGTCATAATGCGGAAGAAAGACGTAATAGATTGGATGACGCAGTGATTTAAGCAGCGCTCATAGGACAGTAGTGGACGCACACGGACCTAATACGTGCTCAAACGCGCGGTCCCGTTTGCTGAAATTCCCAGTGTGGCCGTGAGAGCAAGGAACTCAAATGAAAGTAATATGGACACAGTTCCAACAGTGACGGTGTCACAAGCTTCCGGTTTAGTGATATTCCCGGAGTCTGCACTTCCCAAAGTATTTCCACTACCGACTTTTTTTATTCTAATAGATATCTAGATCTGATGATTAAATCGTTGAAAGCTGCTCTAATAAATAAATGATAGTAATGTAATTATAATAATATATTATAATTAACTTAGTAATTAATAAATAAATTATAGTAATTTCAGGTGTTTAGGATGTCTAGCACGTCCTCTGCTAGACATGCGCGAAGTGTTGCGGAATAAGGTGGTTCGAATGTAGACTTGCCACTATCAAAACGCCATTGGTGAAGATAAGCGTGAAAAACAGCGCAGAATAGTTCTCAGTTGGCTACTAGAAGTGATGCATCTGAAGAAGAATGCGAATATATATTCCCAGAAAACATTCATTAGAGTTACCGCAGCCTATTCGACATTACTATGACTGAATAGTTACATTTGTCTTGGTTTTCTATTAATATTTTCCTTCTTTCCAAAGAAATCGCCATTGAATTTACAATTTCCCATTTTCCACTCCCAAACTAATTATATTGAGTGGTAGGAAGCTTGTTCATAACCGCCATCGGAATTTATATTCTCGCGACACTACCCTTGTACAGAAAGTAGGAAATTTTCGATATGGATCACCTAAAGCGTTTTCGCCCATATATTATTACATTTTTATTTTTTTTACTTGTGTATTCCAAGTACTGGTATTTCTAAACTTGTGCACTGAAATAATCCTACTTAGGATTTCATTCGGAAATTATCGTACTATGACAACTCGTCGTTTCAGTGTGAGTTCCAGTCTGCGAATGGAGAATTTTCCAATCTCAAATTAAGACAATTAAAAATTTTACTGATTACGAAAGAGAGTGTGCGTAAAGGCGTCGAAAGTGTACAAATATCGAGTTTTTCACGGAAATGTTTTCAATTTTTTGTTTCTTCTCATTCGTTACATTCATGTGACCGAAATTTTAGTCAAAAAATATTGTCAATTTCTACCACTAAGTTCGCATTTCTAACGTGTCGGATCGTACTAGTTTGCATTTCTTCAGAACACATGTTATTTATGATTTATCTGTATACAGTTTTAAAATGTTCAGAATATTCAATTAACTGGCATGCTTTATTATTAATCAGTGCTTTTTAAGGAAAACGTGCATTTATAGTAATGTGATCAGCACTTTCACGCCTTCTGTTGCGAACACATCTTGTTGCCAAACACCGAATTTGGAACGTACCCGTGGAATCGAATCATGGGCAGTGTTAAAGTTACAGAAGTGGTTGACAATTAGGCGTTTCATTTTTCTTCATATACCGGGAGGGAATGGGATATGTGGATACACATTCGAAGGTTTCTAAAATTTTATTCGCCTTGTCACATCCACAGCAAAGTGACTATCTTACGTTTTACTAATATCTTAAACTCTCATTGACAAGTACTCACAAGGAAACTTAGTAATTCGCATATGTATAATCGGGTATCACGGAATTTTTATAAAGGCGGCCCCACTTTTTCGGTGTACGGCGAGTAGCGAGCGACCGTTCGCCAAATCCCAAGTAGTGTGGATGGGTTGCTCGAGTTTCGCCGAGCGACGAACATTCGGTGCTAGCCCTACCCACTGCGTGTAGGTCATTTGGACACATCAAAGGAAGCTAACATAAGCCGGACTCATCAGCTGTTAGGGATTGGGCAAGTAGTAGCTCGCTGTTCGGCGAATGCCGAATGTGTGGAGCCGCCTTAACACGAACGCAGATTATTTTGGGCTCTTGGAATTTCCGTTTATAAGGATTTGCTGTATCTCTAGATTTTTAGTCTACCTAACGTTACTTTGCAAACCGATAATTTAATAAAAAAACTTCATAACTGCTCCATCGAAGTTAATATTAATGAAAATAATTTGGATGTATTAAATTGAAGGGTAATTAAATCATATCACGGACTTTCACACGAATGGATAATTAAGATATTTTGAGCAATGTAGATATGGCGCGTAGCGATTAGCGGTGGAATCGTAGATTCTTTATTCAAAATTTACCTTAACTCAGTAGTTGAAATGGTACATAATCAAATTAAAATTACGCGCATGCTTTATTGAATTCTGGGTTCCTAACAAGT